AGCCAACCGAACCGTCTTCGCGAGTTCCGGCGCGCTAATGCTGTTGTTGGAGTTCACAATCGCCACCGCTTCCTCCTCCACACACCTGCGGTTGATGTGCTTCTTCTTCTTTTCGGCCTGCCCGGTGCAGGCCACATGCTCTACGGTAGTTCCACCTCGGTCGCCTTCTAGCTGCCTAGAATCCGCGTTCATGTAATCCGCGTTCGAAGCCCATTTTGAAGTCCTTGAGATGAAGCAAAAGTCGCACCCACAACCATGGGGCCAACACCCAAGTGACGGAGGTGTGCCCGTGCTTGCCCCAGAGGGGCGGGCGCCCTGCAGGGCAAAACTACCTTGACATGCTGCCCTCACGAGTCGGTGCAATCGTGGGTGGTGTGTGTCATGTGTGTGTGTGTGTAGTGTGTGGGTTTGTCCGGTTGTACTTGATCTGTATGCGCGATCCGTTGGCTCGTTGTCCGCTGTGTGTCACGCAAATTTGTTGTGGCGTGCCGTGAGTGCGGTATTTACCGGGTATTTTTTTCCGTGCCATGTGGTTGCCGTTGGAAACCGAAGGGGTCTGACATGTTCTGACATGTTCCACCGCCGCGGTCCGCAGTCGGTATTTTGTTTGCGAACGATGTCATGGATACGAAATATGCCACGGGTGCGGTGTTGGGAAGGTCCGAGGCTATTCGATGTTCTGCCGTGCGGTGACGTGGAGGTGGATTTTCGATGTCCGGGAGTGGACAAACGTGGGTACAATTCGGATAAAAAATGAGTAGAAAAATGGACAGAAGTGGGGACAAAAGTGGGCAGGCACTGCGTTGAGGCCTTGTGCGTTGCTGCGGTATTTGGGCCAAAGATGTGCCTGAAAGTCGGAAAAATTGATGCCCGTGCTGTGTATGGTCCCTGGCTATGCTGTTCAGGTGCCAGAATGGGGCTTTCAGGCGTTTGGCGGTCGCCTACGGCGTCCACGCGAGCTGGTTTTTCGAGTACTCGTTTTTGTCCGAGAAAGGGGTGGGCATACCGACTTTTATCTACTTCCCTATATACATGTGTGACACCAAGCAGCCATGTGCTCAAAAGCAACAGGTTGTGTGGACAAGCCGAAACAACGGGCAGGTGTGTGTGTGTCCACGTTGTGTTGAACAAATATAATGATGACAGCAGCACTATTAGTCTTTTACTTACGCTGTTGTGTTGAACAAATATAATGATGACAGCAGCACTATTAGTCTTTTACTTACGCTGTGCGCGAGACCCCAGAGCACGTGTGTGTCCACGTTGTGTTGAATAAATACAATGATGACAGCAGCACAACTAGTCTTTTAACTTACGCTGTGCGCGAGACCCCAAAGAACCGGTCGTCCGATGAAGACAGCCTTGGCGCCGAGAGCGAGCGCCTTGAACACGTCCGTGCCCCGGCAGATGCCTCCGTCCAGGTAAATCTCGCACCGACCGCTCACCGCCGCGACCACCTGCGACAAAGAAAAGAGGTATCATAGAAAATAAGACACGAATTGAAGCGGGCCGGTACGGGGCAAGACGCCACCACGACGATTGACAAAACTGCGGCGTTGACTGATAGTACTGGGTCTTGCCAACGCTATCATGGGCAACACGTACACGTCGAAATCCATGACCGCAGTCAAAATTGATGGCTGGTCAATCTAAAAAATCGTTTTTTTGCAAAGGCCGGCACTGTACTGTAGGTTAAAAGAGAGGGGGGGGGCGGGTTCCCCATACCGACAGGCAGTTTTTTTTTTTATATTTTCAAGGAACTACTACTATTATTATAGTGTGTTCCAACATCGAGCCAAGTAGAGGGAGGTCCTACGGCTGCCGTACCGCGAACGGCCGAAACCAAAACACGCTGGCATACTTGTCACCGCTATGAATTGTAGGGAACGTCTGTGTGGCAGCGAGTATGAAGAGCGCAGCTGTCTGCATCTCCTCCTCTCTTCTTCGTGCCGCAATCTCTTGGAGCATGCAGTGCACTGCCTTCCATCTTCTGCTACAGCTGAAACGGTACCAAAATACCGTACCGCCAAAACCCAAAGAAAAAAATGACAAGACTTCCCCCTCGAGCGTGGTCATATCTCGAACAGGTGGTGTTTCTGCAATTGTTTGTGTACAGCAGTATTCTCGAACAAAAAAACCAACTTCTCTTTAAGTGTACATGTAATATTAAAAAAATACTGCATACATTTTCAAATACATTTCAACCGTCTCTGCCAGTTATTGTAGCGCTAGGTTGCTATACGGTGGAAGGCTAGGGCCGCACTACTGAAGGTTTGTGCAACAGAACCAGAACAACAACGAGAATATTCCGGGAACCTTATTTTTCAACGGAGGGGCAAGCACTACTGGTCAGATCAGTAGCCTTCTCAGGGTTTTTGTATGAAGTAAACATGTTGGATAAAGCATGCAATAGGGGAAGTTCGGTCAGGGTTAGGGTTAGGGCTAAGGGAATAGGGTCTACGTAGCCCCTCCATGTTCTACAGTACTTCCTAAAAAAAACACAATTTCCCGTTAAGGGGGTTCGGTCAGATCGCGCGCACACACACCTCTGGGAGAACCTCGATGGTAGCCGGCGTGGTGTCCAGCTGCCGAGCACCGTGGTTGGAGACCCAGATGCCGTCCACGCCCTGGCGAACAGATTCCGCAGCGTCTTCCGCGGTCATAACGCCCTTCACCACGATCTGGTTGGCATGGGAGGATACGCGGTAGGAGGGGATGGGGGGGGGGGGGGGGGGGGGGGT